ATTCAAACCAACATCAAGATTTTCCCTGATTATTTAGCTCTTTTAATTATTATTATAGAGGACTTAGGGCCGAGAGGAGCATTCAGTAACAAGATCAAGTTGCGGTAAATATGAGATGGTGAATTTAAGTAAAATAAGTAAAACTGTGTGCAGATCATAACTCAGTTAGGATGACACTGCTGATACAAATCTGTCATTTTTGTCCTTTAATATGCTTAAAAATAGGAGAAAAGGCCAATTCAGAACTTAACTGGGGATCATCAGATTTGGACTAGTAGACGCTGTGTGTAAATAAATGGCTATTATGGATGTTCAGGGCAACCAATTACTTAGTCAAAATGGACTAACCAACTGGTTGAAAGCTGAGAGACACTCAGATATTAAGTTAAATTTGAGAACCGTTTAGTGAAGACTGTCAAAAAGTAATAATAAAGGCACTTTAAACCGTTTATAACATTCTTCAATAATGAATCTGCTGCTTAACTGTGCAAATTGTGCATTAACAACAATGTTACACACCAGACAATGAAGAAGAAAAACTTAAAATAAACCAATGATATGGAAACATGTTACTACAAAAGATCTTAAGAATAAGAAGGTAAATACATAAAATGTAAGATATTGAAATAATATAACAATTAAACAAACAAATAGAAAATTAAGTGTGGTAAGCAGTAGTTGTGTGAATTGTAATTTCACTGTTTAAAAACGTAGTTTTGTGTTCTTCTTGGATCAATAACTGTTCCTTCTATGTCTGTAAGCATCTGTGCAGAGGTAAAGAACACATTTAGACATGTATATTTACTTAAACACATTTATGTGTATTTACATATAAATGTTTCACAGATGAGACCTGTGTGGCCAACGTGTGGGAATCCAAGAACCGCGGCGTGAACGGCACCCAGAGAGGACAGATTGTGTGGAGACTGGAGCCGGGACCCTATTTTATGGAGCGTGAGTGTTTTGTGTTCTTGTTAATTACAAATGATCCTTTATTTATGCGATGAATACTTCCTGTTAATGCTGCATAGCTCTGTTGAGTTTGGTGATACAAACCTAATGATATGCTGTGGAGGCCGGGCTGCACTCTGTGCAGGGCTTCAACAAGTGCATTAAAGTCTCAGTCTCTGTTTCTGAGTTGGAGATGCAGAGAACAGTTATATCAGTGTGTGACTCCATCTCAGGTCTGATTTGCATGAAATGTTGTGGTACAAAGTCTGAACATATATCGTGGTTACTGTGAAATTTTAGCTTCATGTATTAAATATAAGATACATAGATATTCATTTCAGGCCATTTTGTTGCACATTGAAATTTGAGGTGATGTTTATATATGAATATCTCACAAATTATTGAAGGTTCAATTTTCACTGGTCTTTCTTACCATCAAAATAAACTTGAATTAGTAATGTGGGACAGATTTAAAGACCTGGTTTACTCCAGTCTCAAATGATCAAATTTCTATTTGTATTTAAAAAAATAATTATTTAATTTTAACTTGATACAAAATTTAAACATACAGTATATAATTGCTGTTATTTTTAGCTTCAAATACTTAGCTTTTAAATAGTTTTTAAAAAGTCATCAACCCACTTTTTTAAAATCTAGCATATTGAAA